CCAGTGGTCTGGCTGTCTGGTGAGGGACTGCTGGCAGTGGCAGACGCTGTACCAGCGGAGGCCAGAGTTGGCAAGGTAATGAGCTGGATGCCTTGTGGCAGGGCCTGCTGCTTCTGGAGGTCACTGATCAGCTGAGCCTGAGCCTGAGCTGTCAGCTGGTTGAACAGAGGGTACTGAGAAAGCTGCTGTTCCAGGGTCAATGACTCTGTTGGCATGACCTGCAGAACGATGGGGATAAATTAGTCCAAGTAGCAGTGATTTCTGCTGCATGAACTGGAGGGTAGGGGTGTGGTGTTTAAATGTTTTATCTTATCTTTAACCACCTAGTATGTGTTGAATACTCATTAGTATACAGCTTGACGTTTCAAAAGCACTACAATTTATGGATCTGTACTAAAAGCATAAGGACAAAGACACAGATATCATTAAGAGCCTGTTCTCAGCATCCAACAGTGCTATTTACACATAGGAACACATTACTGCAGATGATTTCAGTCACTTAGGGCCTAGCGACCCCCCTGGCAACCTCTAGCTGATAAGGAAACGTATGTATTCTCGAACCAGTTGAAAGTACCAGGTGAAATTATCTGCAAAGATAATTTGCAAAGATAATTTGTTGTTGGTGGAGTGCTGCACCAACAACCTCCTTGCGATTGCTTTGGTCTTCGGCACATGCCTGCAATTTGCCGACTTGACTGCAAAGACTCAACTGGAACTGTGAAAAGTCTCCTTCAAAGTAAAAGTTTGCTAAAATCAACATAGCCATGTAGTGTTTCTTTAACTTAACCAGACTGCAAATGAATACTGGAAAAAAAAGAAAGATCAACTAAGCTGATAAATATGTAAATGTGTCACGCTCATCCACCACGGCCTCCCTACAATACCGACTCTGTTGCTCTCTCATGCCTGACTTTGTAAAGCCACACTCTTCCTTTCTACTGATGACTATCTGGACATAAACAAATACTGAACCAATGAGAGTTTGACCATAATGTAGCATATCCTAAAATGCAGTATTTTATTCTGTAATTTATTCTGTGCACAAAACCTACAAAATATAATTAATCATTAATGGAAAAAGACTTGAAACGGCACCATAGACTAATGTGAAAAATCCTTAAGGGTTAATATAATGTGACCTCTTTTTGCAGTAAGTGATGACACTTATTTGTTTCAAATTCAATACATCGGGATGCAAGTGCAATAACTATTTTTAAATTTCTGACTTCATCCATTTTTGGTCCAAATACCTTGGATATACAAATACATTGTTCCTGAAAGAGAATGAAACTAATTTTAATTAATCCTTACCTGTGTAATGCTAACTGGTGAGGAAAGGGTGGGTGAGAGCTGCTGAGGAGATTGTTGGAGATGGAGGTCAGAGGTTAGGGTGAGCGGCACCACCGGTGGCTGCCGGCGCTGTGCAGTCACCGTCATGGTGGGCTGAGAGGAAGTGGGGATCCCTGGGAAGTCAAAAAAAAAAGAAAAAAGAAACTATGGATGTACACGTACCTGTTTTTTGTCTCCAACTTAGCTTTAATGCACCAACTGGTGTAAATAAGAAACATCAGAAAAAGTAAAACAGCAAAAACCACCAACTTTAAATGCCTGCACGGTAGGGACTGATACTGAGTGCAGAAGAGTGAGTCTAAGTCAAAGTAAAAGTCTGTAAAAGTGCATAAATGTGATAAAGCACAAGCCCCTACATTTGGTATTTTACACATTAGGTGTTACAACATAAGAGACTGTTACAAACTGATGCTGAACCAGATCCTGTTGGCCACACTGCGTGCCGTCTGCAGAGCTAGACTCAACACTTGTGGAGCATCAAATTAAATCCTGCTGTTTTGTTGTCATTTGTATGAAAACTACCGGCATGTTTTTATGTTTTCTTTCAGCTGCATAAGTGTTTAGTGGTTCTCCTTTGTAAACAAACACATTCCACTTAAAGCTAAATTTCTGTGCTACAACACTGGTCGGTACAATCCCTTTGCTTTGTTAAATTTACCCGTTTTACCCCTTTAATGAACACAAAATGTTGATTATTACCGTGGCTGGCGGCGCTTATACCCAGGTGGGTGAGGTTGGTGGTGAGGCTGCCCGTGCTGTTGGCTGTGCTGAGGGAGGGGAAGGCCACGGTGTCCTCGGGGTCCAGCGGGGTAGAAAGAGGTGGGGGGAACTGAATGTTAGTCAGATCGGGCAGCGAACCGCCGGTGTTATGTGCGGCTGGGAGCACGGATGGGTTCAACTCCTGGTCTGGCGAGGGGAATATGCTGAAAAGAGCACATTTTCTATCAGACATAAGAACAGCTTGTGCGAAACAAGACTGTGACCAAGCATATGAGCATTTTTAATAAAAGGCAACAACAGCTAGGTGACAGTGGGTAGCATGTTTGCTTTAGATTAAATGCTATTTTTAATAACTTCTTAAAACCCACCTACAGTGGGTGGGTGCCACAGTATGACAGTCGATTTTCATTTTTCTTTATAATTTGAATTATATTATTCTGATCGTGCTTTTTATGCACTTTTTCTGTTTTTAAATATATATTTTTATGTATTGTTCTTGTTAATATTATTATTATTATTTCTTTTTGTATTTTTAGTTCTGTCCTTAGCATAAAGCGCTCTGCAAACAAGCTTGGCTAAACTGAAGCCTGTTGTGCTTTCACTCAGTGATGCCCACAGATAAATAATTCCCAGCCATGCTAGAATTTTCCATCAGCTGACAATCTTTTCTCAGTGTGTATTCTGTGTCTCGTAAGTTCACTTTCTTGAAAATGTTTTCAGTTTCTAGCAAGGAGAAATCATTGCAAGACCTGTTTCATGCTTTGCTTTGGTCAGTTTGAACCAAATACAGCAAACACAAGCAGACTTCGTTTAGAGAGAAGCAGGAATGATAATCTATTACTAATAATAGGAAATCTAAAAAAGGCTCTTTTGGCTGATTCTTTGGTCACAAAGGAAGCTCATCTGGCAGATTTTGATGCCAGATATTGTTTCTGGTGCAACCACCAAGGGATTTGTGTCTCCTGGGAACGAGTATGTGTAAGCCACTCCTGTTACATCACAACATAATGATCTTGTAATAACGTTTCTTCTAGATTAATTACCTAATGGGTATTGTGTCCCACCGAAAAGTTGCTTTTAGCAATTTTTCCAGTTTTTTTCTAGCACATAATTGTAAACTTGTAACATGGAGGCTTAACACGAGTTACACAGAAGTGCACAGCAGGAGTGACAGGGTTTCATAATAGTTTGCTTCATTTTTGACTAACCAAATGAGCGTGCATTTAGTTTTTTTGTTTATTTTCTTGTATAACCTTTAAACGTGCATATTATTTGAATTTAGAAGCAAAAAAGATGCAAATTCTTTCGTGACGTCTCTGAGAACTGACAGCACATTTCGTGTTTCTTTTTATGTACAGCTGTCAAAACATAATTTGTGATTTGTGAGCCTATAACAGAAAATATTACAATACTGTGCAAAGTCTTAAATTTGTTCTACTTTGCTTCCAAGGAGCCAGATTTTCTTTGAATTTGTTGAAAGTGTTCTTGAGCAATAGTTCTGCAAAGTTCTTATTTGGACATTTGCTGCTTTTTCACTCATTTTCAGTCCAGTCCTTGAACCTGACCATCTTCAGACAATGACCTTTGAATCATTCAAATAAAAAAGGGCACCCCAGTCAAGGTTTTTTAGCAAAGAAGCAGTTTTAAAATATCTTGATGCATGCTCAATCATCCAGGTAAGTAAATCCCAAGAAATTTCAGAAGATTCTGTTCATCTGGACGTAGCGTTTTCAGTGGGAGAAACATTTTAATGACCGTGAAACTGACATCACAGCTGCAGTGGGCTAGTTTCAGTCATTGTGCAAAGGTAATGTTTATAAGGTTGGGGAAACCTGCAGGTAGCGGAGACTGAAGAAGTCACTTGGATGACTGACGAAATCTTTCTTCCACTGAGAACACTACGTCCAGATGAACAGAATCAACTTTCTGGGAACCAGTTTTAAACTTTATCTCTTTAGGTGCTTTGTTAACTAGCAGCCTGTCACGAAAACAAAAGGCGGCAAACACTCAAAGAAGAGCTTCTTAGAAAGTCCTTGAAGAAGCTTCAAGGACTATTCCTGAAGACCACTTAAAGAAATGATAAGAAAGCTTCCGTATTAGAGCTCGGGCTGTGTTTAAGAATAAACGTGTTCATACAAAAAACTGAATGTTGACTGTTTTTGCTCTACCTAATCACACGAGCCAAGGTGTGAAAACGGGTGTAGGTCACTATCAGCCAAGGTTTCGGGTGAACTCATTGTGAAACTCCCCCCTATCATGTGATTTCCGGAGGTCAGAAGGCCCAGGATGTGAGTGGGCATTAAGGCATCTGGGAAGGATCTCAAAACTGGTTTATAGATGGCAGATAGTTGGTGTCGTAAGCCACCACCTCTATTCACAGATGGTCATTCACAGTGGACATAGATGGCTTCTTTTACTCGTCTTTCAAACCATCAAACCATGTGAACATTGGCATCCTCAAAGGAGTGACCTTTGTCCTTTAGATGCAGATGGACTGCCAGTTGGCTGTTCTATGTTATGCCATATGTTATATTATGCTATTTTTTCATTCCTGTCTCTTATGTATACATTTGCATATCTAAAGATACATCAACATATGCCTGAAACCCCCCCCCAAAAAAGAAACAAAAACACATCCAAGCTTCACCAGTATGTTTAATCACATAAAACCCCCCAGTAGCTTAAATAAACCATCCACCTATTAACTGTTTACTTAAATGCTGTGCCGAAAAACAAACAAAAAGATAGATATAGATTGGTAGCTACCTATATATATATCTATATAAATATAGATATCTATAGACATAGATATAGCTATATAGTTATATAGATAGATATAAAAATCACATATACATCACATCATGTTGTTGATACTGGCAAGAAAAGATGGTCAACCAGTTTTACAAGTTGTGTCTCTGTTCAGCACCTGATGTCATCGTATCGACATTGTGCAAGTATAAAAGCTGCAGACCGTCAGAGATTAAACAACAAACAGCTGGAGTTGGTGAGCATCGGCACGACTGAAGACAACTCAGAACGATTAAACTGTAAGTTTTCAAATCTAGAATATCTGACTAAACTTTAGAGTCAGGGAAAGATTTACTGAAGACTTTACTTTGTTACAATATGGAAAATAAAATATGACAAATTAGTTCATGACCATCTTTTCTGTCAAGCCAATGTGGTTTTTCCTGAAAAAAGAAAAAAAAAATTGTGTTTTGCTTTAAAGCAAAACTATGGAAGTGATTTGTTTTTATTTAAAAGTTACATTATTATAGAAAGAGCTGTATAATGACTGCAGTAATTAAAAAAAAACAAACGTTTATGCTGTTCTAAATTAAAGATGATGTTATTGCATTATGAATTAGAAACATATAGAAAAAAGACACTTCTGTCATTTAGAAAATTACACTAATAAGACAATAACTGAATGTATTTGGTTTAGATTTTTATGAAGTGAGTTTTTATTGTATTTATTTCACTTTTCATACTTGATTTACTTTATTGAGCTATTGTTATATTATACTTTATTTATTTAAACTATGTCATTATAGATTATATTTAATGCTATTTCCAAATTTTTGGGAAACACAAATGTGAATTTAAAATTAAACAATAATCAATCATTTTATTTTTGAAGGTTCAAGGACTTTTCCACAATGATTCTCAAGATCTGTTTCATTCTGCTTCTGCTTGTCGGTAAGTGTTAGCAAATAACAACAAATTATATTATAAGCAGTCGAAGAATTTTAGGAAATGAGTCTGAAGTTAATCCATCAATTTCAATGTCAGCCATTTCACAGATACCAGAAGTGAATGCAGCAACTTCAAACACCCCAACCCGAAATGCAACCAACCCAACCCAAAGTGCAACCACCCCAACCCAAAGTGCAACCACCCCAACCCAAAGTGCAACCACCCCAACCCAAGCTTCAGCTAACACAACGCAGAGCACAACAAACAGCACAGCAGCCATTAACAAAATCAGCCTGACTTCTGTCACAATGGCCGTCGTAGCTGCTGTGCTTCCATAACATAGTTACAGTTGTAACTATGTTGTTACAACTAGCTTTTTTAACCATGCATTTGTCTGTGTATTTTTCATATCCTATCAAAGTAGGGAAGTTTCAATAAGGGGAGGGATGATAAATAAAAGGGGATCTAAACTGTCTTTTGAACACATGTAAATGATCCATTTTACTGTATGCTTTCACAAGATTGTGACTTTCTTTGTGGCAAAGGTCAACAAATAAAATGTTTACCAATCAGAGGAAATTGATTCAATCACACATATTAAGATTTATTGTGATGACCATCTATTGTGAAAATAACTGTACCTAACCTGATTTAAGGGAGAATATGTTAACTTCCTAACCAATAAATGACAATAATCACTTAAGTTTTGCTCTATTTTGTGTAATTCTGTATGTTAACCAGCCTTTTTATTTATTCAGCATCTTTGCACTCCGCCACTTTGCACAATAAATATGACTGTGGCTGATGTATCTGTCATGTTATCAACTTTATTATGGACACTGAGAGCAAAGAAAAAGCCCAAGGTTAATTCCTTGTACTTGGTCAATAAAGCTGAACCTGATTCCATTAAACAGGTCTCACGTCTTTGCATTAAATTGGATTGAACATATTAAGGCGGTTTGTCGGGAGTTCCTAACCCACTCCGAAGCATTTCAAGAAGCAAGTCCTGCTTTTGCTGTTATTTTGACAGATCATCTAAATTAACTTTGAACTGGGACATGGGAAAGTACATGGACTTTCTCACCAGAGAAATCAGATAATAAAATGGTTAGAAATTGCTGACTTTGCCCCCATTTTCTTTTCTTTTTTTGTGGTCCATCCATGTTTGGTCTTGCAAAATTCTCCCATTTATTTCCAATTCTTTCAGTGCCATTTTTCTAATATCCAACGTTAACACGAAAAAGGATTTTTGCTTTAAATGTCATTATGAAGCATTTTATGTTTGTACTTTATAGTGCTCGTAGAAAAATAGCACCTGATTGCCTATCACTACAGGACTTTCCCCCAGCCATACCTGATTACTGGGGGGGGGAGGAAGCGCACCAGCAAAATAATCCTGAAAGGCGATACTAGCAACATCTATGATTTTCCTCACAGATGCTGGAGGATTTCCTCAGTTACCTGACACATGGGGAATGCACAAAAAACTTCAGTCAACCATCCAAATGAAAAAGAAAAAAGCAGTTATAGAAAAAAAAGAGTACCGGTAGCAGATTAATACTGAGCTGTTGTTTACTTAGTCCAGAGCGCTACAAAACACACCAGTAATAAAACCTGGCTACTTATTAAGATTGAGATTTAAAGGATTATATCTGGTTGATGGTTATTCTTCCAACTAAAGGAAAAAAACATGTGCCAAAGTTTTCTTGTCAATTCTTAGGTCACAGAAATTCAAACTCCAAAGAAATCACTAGGAGCACAAATCATTTGCAACTCTTTCACCCAGTGAGAGCCAACAACTTCCAGGAATGACCGCCAACCAATTGGGGAACGCACATTTCTCCCTAGCAACCTAGCTGTATCACGTCCAATATGGCAGACAACTAATGTCCACATATTGCTTCATGCACAATACTTGAGTGGCATTGCTCTTTGAAGAATAATAAAACAAACAACGTAAACCACTCACTTGATTCCTGGGACATCACACGTGTTGGGCTTTGATGAATCATCCTGAGAAGAAAATGCAATCATGAGACACAAGTCTTGCGTCACTGGTGTACACTCTGCAGCCCTTCCCTGTCCCATTGGTACCTTCTCGTCATCCCACAACTGTTTCTGCACATCGTTGTCTGCACTTGTCTCAGAGTTCTCCGTTCCAGGCACTGTTAGCAGCAGTACTAATTAGTGAAACAGCAAGACACAGTTGCTTGCCATGACAAAAATACATAACAAACCAAAAAAAATGAGTCATCAATATCGGAGCCAGTCATGCAGAATTTAGTGCTGTGCACCAGATTCTAGAGTGTAAAAATAGAAGGTGACCATCAGACAGACTGAAAGGATGCCAGCTAATCTTGGCTTCGCTTTATCAGAGCTTCACAAATAAAAAGACATAATCAATGCATAATCAGTTAATTATTGATTTTCCTCTCTAGATCCTCCTGAATCAGCCTCATTCAGAGATGCTACTCCTCCACATCCAGCCGAGGGCTGAACCAGAATGCAGAAACTTTGCTAGAGATCCATTTACTTTATAAATATTTCACCAAGAACTACTACTGTGTGACACCAGCCCCTTTATGTCTTTTGAGGTTTCCTGTCTGCATTAGTACATTCTACATTAATAAATAAAAGCAGCTCTGTGTCTTTGTAACGGGATCTTCCTCTACCTCGTTTAGGCTGCAGCTCCTGTGATCCCCCGGCAAAGACCTCCTGGGGCTTTGGATTCATGGCGCTCTGGTGTAAGGCAGAGTCTGAATTTGTCCTGTACGTGAGAGACAGATGAAATTCAAGCAAAACCAATGCCAGCTCATGAATACTGGCAGAATTCAAGCTCTGCAGCATCAAATCTATCAGAAATCTGTTCTAGACCTTCTGGTTTACTTTAGAAGTTGTGCATCAACTAGGCTGCACAGAGTCATGTCATTTAATCTTTGGAAGAGCGCTGTATCTGGCTGTGTGTCCTAGTTCTTATTTTGGCAAATGGACAAAAGGAGGTGCCTTACCTTCTCCAGCTAGTGTCTGGCGGTGGGGAGAGGTAAACTGAGCTGTAAGGACAGCTGTCAATGTGAATTTAGTCAAGGGAAATAAATTTGTTTTCTTACCCTAATCAGCCCAAAAGACCTGCTAAATAATAAATAACCACACACAAGCTTTACTTTGATACATTTATTTTGATATCTTGTTATCTAATAGACGAATATATTGATGGTCTTGTCAACTGTCTACAACGCATCGTGTTACATAGTTCAATATCAGGCTGTCAGTACATGCAGCATAACAAACACTCACTCTCTTAAAATCCACTCAGCACCATTACTGACAGATGATATCTTAACACATCTCATATGATGAATAGTAATTGCGTTCCTTAAACAGCAATCATTGTTAACCAGTCTGGTAGCAATCTCTGGTCCATATGACAATATAAAAACACAGATGACTAAATAACCTTAACCCCTACTTAACCACTTTCCAGGCAAACTACAGGCAACCACTGCTCCTGGAGGTTTCTGGTGTGGGGCCCTCTTTCCCATCCATTTTATCTGGTCATTGCAACCTCCAGGAACCAACGCCCAACTAGTTGGGAAATACACATCTTTCCCTAGCAACAAAGAAGTTGCTAGGGGATCTCAAAACAGTCTCTAGGCCTGTGCAACTGAGGCCTTACTTACATTCAAAACTATTCATCCCACAAAGTTTAGCCCCTATCTCAAGGCTGCATATTGGCATTTTAAGAGGACATTTCCCAACATCAGTGGCTGATGTCTATCTGTTTTGTTTCTGTTTATCATCAATGGCACTGGCTAAATGTTTAGGAATAACATGACGACAAGCTAAAAGACTTTAAAATAGTCCTGATAGTGTCAGCAATGAAAACTGTCATTAGAACAAAAGGCTATTGTTTCAGAATTTCAGTCATTCATTATTCTAACTATATATATATATATATATATATATATATATATATATATAAAACGTATCACACAAATACATGAAAACTAATGAAAGCTGATCAATTAAACAGCCAAAAGCTTAAATTTAAAGCAGTCTGCTACGCTGAAGTAGCTTGTCTCCAGACACAAATCAGAATTTTGACTTAAAAATCAGACCAAAACAATAACACATTCCTCATCACAGTGCGTTTGAAACGAAAGGATATCTGGCGTCCATGTTTGTCGACTGTTAGCGGCCGGCGGTGAGGCGAAGTGATGCGGTTCCGGTCACGGTAAACACGGTCCACCAGCCCGTGGTGCCTGGTTGTCCGACTGGTATCCAGCACTGAGTTCTGGAGGTGGACACATCAGGTGAATGAGGCCCCGCCCACAAAGAAAACAAAAACAAAAATTGCTTACACTATAAAACTGTGTCTTAGGATAATGTCTGAGGATAAATGGTGCACATGTGTTTGTTTCAAAATGAGTCAAGCCATGGGCCCCCCATACTGATGCTTGAGTTGGCAAATGTATTAAAAATGGAAAGCCATGACAAGCAATGGTCTATTTAAAATTTAGGAACCAAATTACACATCAGGGTGAAAAAACCCCAAACAAAACAAAAAAAACACAAAAAAAAACAGCTGTAGTGCACGTCTTCTCCTTCACTCTTGGACCCTGATAAAACCTGATGCTTTATGCAGCTTTGACAACAAGGTAATGTCTAAACACTTTACTGTCAGCACAGCCATAAATAAGCCTGCAGACTTTCTTTAATGGCTTTAGAGGAATTTTCTGGGTTCTTTCACCAACACCACAGACACCTGCAACCTTTGCATGTCCAATAGTATCACCAACAGCTGAGAAGGGCACACTGGTCTACAACAAACCATTGATTTACCAGCCGAGAGAGGCCAGGGGCTCACCTGAAAAGGCAGGTCAATGTTGCCATTTCCAATCTGATTGACATTGGGCAGTGAGCCTCCATAGTACTGTCCACGATTCTGCCCTAGTTGCAAATACTGGGTCTTCTGTAACTGCAACTGTGCAAAGTAAAATTGCATGAAAGCATGAGTGAATGACTGATCCAATACACAAAAAAAGAGATGCTAAAAACAAATGGTGCATGCCAGACCACAGTGTGGGATATGAAAGACTGATGAATTCATTAACTGACAGATGAAACGTGATGAGCCAGGCAGATGTGGCGGTACCACGAATAATCAGGAGGCAGAGAACATATTTTAATAGCAAATAAAAAGAAAAGAAAAATCACATCAGCTGATGTGAATGACACCTGACTGACAGCTGGTGTAATTACAGTCACACTTTCCATGTAACACACCTGGCTACTACATTAACCACACAACAGTAGTCAAAACAAAACCCATATATGTTATTAAAAAACAAAAACAACACTGTGATGGAAGGCCTCGAATATGAAATGAAATGCGTGAGGATAAATGATCAGAACGGATGCCATGGATGGATGTTTGGATGGCAACACAAAGAAATCAGGCAGAGACCATAAAACTGAGTAGTAAATTCAATTCCCCCCACCCCTCCCCCTTTGCAGTAAATAACAGTACAGCTCAGGTTTACACTGACGCAGCGTGGTAAGTGGGCATCATTTCCAGCAACTAGACCAACAATTAGCCCCAACGTTTCCTGGCAACAATATGGTTTATATGTTTTGAGACGAACAGCCCTGAAACAATTAGTTCATCATCAAAAATTGCGAGAAATCGCCAACAATGATGACAAGTCATTCTGGAAGTTATTTTAAAACTTTAAAAAAAAAATCCCATTTCAGCTCCATTTTACTGTTTTTTTTTACATGATTATCATCTGCTATATCTAAACCAGAGCTTTTCATCCACAGTTATATTCACTTCTGTAAAATGACAACAACAACAAAAAAAGACAGACAGTAAAACGAACATCATGTCTCAGCGTTAGAAAAAACCCCCACATTTTATTCATCAGCAGTGGACTTGCAGCTTCAGTTAGAGCCAATTGAATTGGCATAATAAACAGCAGCCTAATGAAAACATCTGCTCCACTTGTAGTGGTTGAGGCAACCAGTGCTTTCATTGTAGTGAGAAAGCTGCCATTCACACTTTGCTAAAGATAGAGCGAGTAAAACGAGACATGTGGATCATTTAGTCAGAGCTGACTTTGCTCTCCGTAAGTGTATGCTATGAAAATAATGTTACGGGTAATGTGGGGGTTACCCTCTTTCCCCTTAATAAATAAGAAACACACACACACAGCTGGTTAACATCTGTTTGGCTAATCTCTCTGTCAACCAACATTGCTTCCCATTCCGTTTCTAAATCGCAGCTAACTTTTCCTAACGTGCTCTAATGCGGTCACTACCATGCCAGACGATTTGTCTATTAGCTAACGAAATGTCAGCAGCCACAGGCAGGGGAGAACAGGTGCACATTATCCACAGATCCAGCAGGCGAGGCTAAGCTGGTTAGTGCTGCTGGAAGTCAAATAATGCTGGCTTGTTTTAACAGGCGCGGGGGAAACGTCGCTCCGCAGCATTGCACTGATGCAGCAAAGGACGCTAATATGAACTTTAGCTTACATAGCATCCCAACCTTTCCGATACATCTCCGCAGTGTTCGTTAGCTGCCAAACAGCGATGCAACGAGAGGTAAACAGCCCCTCTGTGGGGGTCTTACCCGCGCAGCTCTGGTGATGTTCAGGTCTTTCATCACTTCTTCAAACGCGGCGGTCTCTTCCGCCTGCTTCTGATTATGCAAAGCGATTTTTTCGCTAAATTTGCGAGGATTGTTAGAGGACGCCATCTTTCCCCTCTTCTTCTCAATGGAATGTTACGCTGCGCACCACTCCGGGCTCTCCCGGTCGTCATCACGCACAGTCAACGTGTCTGTTGATGTTTTTCTTTTTTGCTTCAGTTATTGCCAGAGTTTGCGGCAGGGTGAGTTGCAGATAAAATACACACTGCCACAAGGGAAATCGTGTGCCCCAGATGCATGCTATAAATAGTTAAGTAAATAAATAAGTTCACATAAAAGAGAACAGAATTTTCAAACAGAATAAAAACAGCATGGAATGAAGCAGTAATGAATGCAATGGATACAACAGAAAAAAACTGAGCATGAACTATCCAGAATGGAAGGAAAGTCTACATATATCGCATGAAGCTCTAGTTTATGACGAGAAAGTTGGATCATATTGAATTAAACTAGAAGATATGCAATGGAAGTCTGAATATACTGACTAAAACTTGCATATATCCAATGAAAGTCTGAATGTATTGAATTAAACTTCACTATGTGAGATTGTGAGCTGTTGTGGTATATTTTCATTGGTTTTTGTAGATTTTCTGGCCATCGTTTTATTGGATCAAGGACAATGGTCTAATTGTTTGAAATTTTTAGTATGACCCTGTCTGGAATGCAACCCTGATACTGGATATTGGACTAAAAGAGTTGAAGAGGTAATTGCAGGCTAGCCAACGAGCTATTAGGCTAACACTGAAGGGTACCACGGGGCCAAGTGGACTCTGACAGCTGTCGAGGACATTAAAAAGTCTCTTGATTTCCTAATGGAGGGAATGTCTACTATCAGGTTGCAGTAGAACAGCATCCTTAACATTGTGGAGGTGGTAAAGCTCCTCTGCATCTAAAACATAGAGTAAGAGAAAAGGATTGCAGACCTGCAACGGTATTCCAGGATAAATGACTGCTTCATATTAAACCCCGCTCATACGCTCAGGCAGGGACTGTCAATAGCAGTGAGGAACCAGGGGAGCTGGACGTTAGCTCCATGGTACAACAGGTTGCTGCTTTCCTGCAGTCCAAAGGGATTGATCTGGACTGTGACAACATCGACGCATGCCACCCTGTGCCCAGAATAAACACCAGCAACAAACCAGCTATTATCTTAAGTGTAAATAAGAAGCACGAGAATGCACTGCTGGGACAAGGGAGAAAATTAAAAGCATATAAAGTATTTATCAATGAACATCTAACCAAAGAGCCAAGCAAGCATTGTACCTTAAGAAACTGGGAAAAATTCAAAGTACTTGGATGACAAACTGTAAAATCAAACTAAAAGGATCACTGGAGGAAGCTAAACTGCTGGTCATCAAAAATATGGTAGATCTCAAAAAATATACAAAACTAAACAAGGTAACAACTATACACTCACTTATCACACACTGAAGGGAAAGGAAAAGCTATTTTATATTAATATGTGGAATGAAACCTGAATATATGAATCAATGAGTGATCCACCTGCTCCCCATCTTTGTTTGCTGATTAGGTGCTTTACCAGCCCGAGGATCTGCCTGCACAGAATCTTAGCTTGTCCTAGGCCTGTGCCTCTGGACAGACACTGGAGAGGCATATATAATGCATGAGTGTGTGTGTGTTTTCAGGTTGTACTGCAACAGTAGCTTTTTTGGTAAAATTAGTGTAAAAACAAAAAACATTGCACACCCTTGAATATTTAATTATCCTTTCTGGAAAAATGGATCAAATTATTCAATGGAGAGCCTGGAACATTACTGTAGGCCAGTATGAAGGAAGCTAACAGCTAACCAACACATTAATTAAAGTCAGAAAACTATTTGCTGTTATGGAACCTTAAATATTAATTTTAAATAATTTAATCAGCCTGGCTGATTATTTGGAAAGCTGCCAATCTTGTTGGCAATAGCACTTCTCAGAAGATCCCTGGGTTTGCAACACCACTAGCATGAGAAATAAAGAAATAGTGGACTAGTTGGGGGGGAAAAAAAACAAAACAAACAAACTGACTTTTCTTTATGAATTCATTAATACTTTGCACACCCACAACAGAAAAAACTGAAGTATATTGGCTGAAACATTAATGTTCCTGTATGTGGGAGTGTACAAAATAATAATAAACAAACAAAAAAACAACAATAGTTCCTTTTTTAAAGCATGATTCACCTTTAATAAAGAATGCACATAAAGCTACACATGTGTACATTCCCCTTTGACTACAGCAATTTCCTGTATATTGCACTTTAATGATGTAATGTGCTGTTACTGGTACAGGTAAGAACAAGACAAAGACACACTAAGGCAGACAGTTGATAGTTTAAAAAATAATAATAAAAATTTAAAAAGAAAAGAAAAAAAATGAGGAGGCTTCTCACCATCACACGGCCAGTTCCTGGAAAAAACAAAACAAAACAAAAACAGGAAGTTTGTCTCTTTGCACACACACACAAAAAAACCTGGTATAATCTGAGATTATACACTCACACATTTGCTGAGAAATCTTAGAAAGACTGAGGAATTTACTGAGGTTAAAATTGGATATATACAAGCAAGAAAACCCTCAGGAAAAAGGGGTAAGGAACCATAACACTTCACTTTGCATGGCTCGATGAACCTTGGACCATCTGCCTGCAGCATAAGTCTCAATTAAATAATAACCTTAATACTTGATACATGATTTTAGCCTACAGTGACAATGACATCTAGCCATGGTTATTTAGAAGAACACGTGTGCGAATGAGGTGATAACTGGATCGGGAACAGACTGACAGATGCTCGTTCACCCTGCTACAAATGCAAAGTGAAGTAGTTCCTTGACAAATAAGATTTTTTTAGAGTTGATTCTTGTGCATTTCTGACTTTAACACTAAAAATAATCCTCATTCACCAATTCAACATCCATTTTTTAAACCTACAACAGCCTTCATAATATGCATTTGTAGATATAAAGTGCAAAACTAGTAAGAATAGGACGTGAATAACATGAGCATGTTTTCTGTATAAATTGTACTTTGAGGATTTGTGCAAAAATGTTGCTTGTCACATTTTAACAGACAATTACAGTCAGAAAATTTAAATATCACTGTTGTTTAAGGACAAACCTTTTATGGTAAGCAAGCTGCTTTACATAAAGAGAGCAGCAACAGTGTCAACAGACACACATGCACACACATTAAGTATTGATGTAGCTGCCATAAGAGGTCCATACTGGTTTGTTATGTTGTCTGAGTCATTAGCAAGAACTGAAACAAATGAGGGCAGTAGTAGTTTGAAAAGGAGGGAAAAAAAGACTAACGTGGAATAACTAATAAAAATTCACAGTTTAAACACATACAATACTCGTTTGTGTGCCATCATTGATACGAGGTTTGCTGATTAGTAAATAGACTTTAAAACACTAACGGTTGTTAAATAATTACAACATAGCACAAAAAAATAAATTAAATAAAAAACCAATGTACAATCAAGCTGTCCAACATTATAAAGGTTGAGTTTAAATGTTGTCACTGGAAAAATTGTAGCATACTCTAAATGATAATTATGTCTAGAGACATTTGTGCTGTGTGTAACTGAAGCCCTTGATCAATAAAACTTGGGGTAGTTAGTGCTACTATTACCGTTTACGCTTCGTTAAAGTATCCGCTCTTCTATTTTCCAAATGGTACAAATGTTTGAAAAAAAAATCCTTTTCAGTTTATGTATTAAACACATCTCAGACAACTACAAGTGTAATTTATAACTTTAGTTCATAAATTCAGAATAACTCAAAATAAAGACCCTTCATGTGGAATAAATATGAACGAACCCTCTGAAGCTACAGAGTAATACCCAAATAACAGTACTGTGGCTTTTTAGGTCAATTTCTTCATATGAACATATAAACACGCACACACACTCACGCACACAAAACGATCACACCTTGTGTTGACTCAACAGTCGGCAGAAAGAGCACATGGAATAAATCTTCACAGTCGTAGGTCTTCTGCTTAGCGCTGTGTGATATTTTGTGGAAGTATAATTGGTGTGCAAGCAATCCCAGCAAAGGATTCTGGAAAATGCAAATCCCTCTCCCACTCATCTGTCTCTGTGTTGTACACCTGAACGATACTTGTGACATTGTTCAGGTGCCAGTTGTAACCTCCGACGATGTAAATCTTCCCGTCTAGAAGGCAGCAGCCCGCTTCAGACTGGCCGGCCCTCATAGGACTGGCTGTGGTCCACTGGTCGTTCTCTGGGATGTAATACTCGACTGCTAGCACATCAAAACAACGGTCAACATGGTCCATGCGGCCGCCCAGGGCGTATACCCGATCCCTGGTGCTGATCATGGTGTGCAGCACTCTGGGTTCATTCATGGGAGCTCTGAAGTCCCATTGGTCTGTCGCCGGATCGTAGCAGTGAAGAGTTTTCTTGTCATCCAATGAGACGCCGTATCCTCCTGAGATATACAGCTTCTCTTGACAGGAAGTCCCCGCATGACCCCAAATCCGGCGTTTTAATGGTTCCACATATGACCACTCATTCTTCTTTGGGCAGTAACACTCTACAGATGACAGGCTGCCAGATCGATTGCGCCCTCCAGTGGCGTACAGCAGTCCATTCAGCACATTTAGCTGAAACTGGATACGAGCCTCCTGCATGAGTGGAATGCGCAGCCATTGGTTCAGATGTGGATCGTAGCGGAAACAGCTGTCCACCGCCCCCTCGCCACTACGATACTGTAAGTGCTGTCCGCCGACGACGTAGACAAAGTTGTCTAGTACGGCAACACAAGCATGGCTGCACCCCGTCTCCATCTCCGTAAGCTCTTTGAACTGACGGGATGCGACATCTGGAAGATAGTACACCTTTGTGGTGACTGTGCGATCGTTGTCGGTGTAGGGCGTCCCACCAAAGGTGATGAGTGACATGACGTCAGAGCGAATGAGTGTCCGTGAGGACTGCATTTCATGCTGTCGGAAGGGAAGGATCTGGTAATTGAAGGCCTCGAGGAGATACTGGCGACACTGAACATCCTCCACCATGATGTCCACTCTCTGAATGCTGTCCACCAACTCTGAAGAGCGCATGAGGGGGAACCGCACGTGGCAGAGGACGCTGCTGGCTTGAGCCCGGCGAGACTCGTCGTACTGGAGCCACCTGATGGCGGCGTGGAAGAGGTCGATCTCACTGCAGTTCTTCAGTTTGTTGCTTTGAAGGAAGAAGGTGAGGCGCTCCATGGGAATGTGCAGGAAATCATCCTCCTCTGCAATCTGGAGGAAGTGGCAAAAGGTGAAGGCATCCACCGACTCCTTCAAGGAGGACAAGCTGAACGTGGTGGCCATCTGGCCGATGTGCAGGCAGGTCTCAACGCTCATCGCTGACTTGAGGAACTCCTCGCAGAGCTCCACGACAGGAACCATTTGGAGGAAGACAGCAGCTCCGAGGACATCCTGAATGCAGTCCAAGTCTAAAGTGACTTCTGCACTGTAGGCAAAGTCGATGATGTGTTTCAGCCCACGGGCAGACAAACCCTTCAGCTCAATGGTATCTTGGTTCGACTCCCTCATGCCTCCCGTGAACATAGCTCTGAAACACAAGGACGTGTAAGTAAACTACGTGATATTTTACGGTCCCTTGGAATTCAAAACTGCATACATTTACTTTACTGTTGAATGGCAATGGAGTCAGAGTCATTGCTCTACGTAAAATAAAATGAATAAATAAATTAAAAAAGGCCCTTTTTTTCTTGAGTTGTTCATTGTTTCAGGTCTGGTGCAGATGAACCAAAAACTAGTGTGCAAAGCAGTAAGCTTACCTTTTCCTGCATTTTTATGTTATTGTACAATTATCTAAATATTAAAATGTTTTAATATGTTTTAAAACTTTCTCAATTTCTGCTTCTCTAATATACGATATCGTTATATCATTTGGCAAATATGAATTCACTGACATACAGGAGACTGAGAATGTATTTTTACATTACCGAGATGTGTATTTAACTTTAAATGGATGTAACTGTTTTTTTCCCTCCATTCCAGCTAAAAGCTTCCAGTTATGAATGCAAATTGGGCAGTGTGAAGTCTCATGCCTTAGACTAACCTGAAGTAATCACTACAGGCGGCCAGCACTGCTTTATGGACCTGGAAGCGCTCCTCGTTGATGGCCAGCACGACGTCAAGTAGCTGGCCCTGAGCCCGTAACACAGACAAGCCCTGAAGGAGGGTGGAACTGTGGCTCGGGGCTGAGAAAGTACAGCGAAGGGTGCTATTCTTGTTTGCCATACTGTAAAGAGAAAAAGGCCTCAAGTCACTCAAGTGATTGTTCCTTTTTTCACATCTCCCCTGATCTTAGTTTCTGTACTCAGCTTAATTTTTCAGTTACTAAAAGCTATTACCGCCTTTTCAAACATGCTGCATAGTCCAAGAGATCAATAAGTTGCGTCTGGTGAAAGCATTGCTGTGATGAAAATTTAATCTAATCTGCTAGAGTCGGCCAGGGAGAAATGCATTCTGTTCGGTGTCTTTGCATTAGCGAGAATGTGTCTGTACACTGGAGTCATGGTGAGGGGAAGAGATAGTGCTGTGCACTTTACTGCTAGACATAAAAAACTGAAATCTATCTGCCACAATTACAGTGGCTTACTGAGAGCAAGTAAGTATATCTGGTGGACACACCATCATAGGTACATGAAAAAGCATCACTTTGTCAGCACTCAAGGAAAAGGAAGTTCTCCCTGACATCACTGCAAACACATTTATTCAAAGTACATATATAACCTCAGACGAGCGACAAGCTTACATATGTTTTTGCTTGCACTTTTCCCCCCTGATATGCTTCATTTAACAAGATTCAAAAATGGCATCCAAGCACAGCAAGAAGGTTAAAAATGACCAAATGGGGCTAAATGGGAACGATAGGAGTTTTTCAAATCCAACAATTATCCTATATTAAGTCAAAAAATTAAAATTGAGTCAAAGACAAGTGATGAGGTTCAACCTGACAACCAGCTCAACAACCCCACCCCTCCATTAGAGTGGACACAATGATCCAGGCCTTCTCTTCCAACATCAGTGTTTTGTTCAGAAATCAGTTTTCTTGCCCTAATAGGAGAAATTATAATCACCCTGGTGTAAATAAAATCTGTTCAATCCTAAAAAAGTAATTGAGAACTGAGAACTGTGTGTATAAAAATAACCAGTCTTGCAATTTTCATACCCCAGTATTGATCTCGAATATCAAGTGATGCTGATACGATCAAAAAGATTCGTTCCTCTGACTCTCACCTTTATTTTGTCAAAAGCTAACAAATACAATGTAGCCCAAATAGACATTTTCTTGCTTTGGAGGTTGTATTAGCTCATCTCACAAGAGCCAACAAAATAATTTAGAGAATGCAAACGCTGCTGGTTGGTACTGGTAAAAAAAATAAAACGGCAAAAAAGTGCAGGTCTGGAATAAACAGCTTAAAACAGTGCGAGGATCCCTGCAGTAGTTGTATGACTGATCCTGTGTATGTGCATGGGAAAATTAATTCCTGACAAATTTCCTATTTGTTTGTAGAAAAGCTCGAGTACCTGGGTATCTGCTGAGCAAATAATATTCATCACTGTCTGTGCATGTCAAAATAAAAGGAAAACAAAGTGGAAACTGCGCACATGCGCGCACACAAAACAGGTGAAGGGAAGAAAACGGAGTGTCTTCTTTTATATATCTGGACTAACGTGGTTGTTTGCCCGCGTAAAATAATAAAAAATGCAAACGTGTTCCATTTGGCTTTGGCAGTGTTACTCTTAATACTTAATGATGGCGTGTCCTACGGTTATCACGTTGACGTAATTAAGTGCACCTGCATGTCTCCAGTGGGGAAACCTCCTCATTAAAATAAACGAAATGCTTACGGTCTGCATTATGTTTTTGTTTTGTTTTTTTAAATATCAGAATTTTTAAAAACATGCCTAATCTGATTTTGAAGAAGATATTTGAGCCATAACAAAACAGAAACAGACTTTCCGCGGATGTGCTCGCAGTTTTGTGGTGACATTTAAAGCAAACTAGCATCGCTTCAAAGTTGTGACCTATTTATTAGTCTATCATAAAAATTATTAATAAAACTGTTAAAATATAGCAGGTTGTGTTACGGTTGTCTAGCCTCCATTCTGAACTTCTTTTTTCTTTGCTGTATCGATAAAAAGGAGCAGGTAGTCTTGGTGCCTGGAGGCCCGGACACCGCCTCGGTGTTTCCTTGATTTACGCCGCGGCGCTTCGAACCGTTCTGACGGACTCGGATCGAGCTCGAGTCCCGGAGCCGTGGGAACTCCCATCAGGGAAACACCGGACACCCAAGACAACACCGTGGACTCCCCACGCCCTCACCCACCTGTTCTGCGTATCTTTTGGAGCAAATTCCCCACCATCTGACTCCGCCATCTTCTAGCACATAGCAACACGCATAGGGCATTTTCAGCAGAGTTAACAGGATGCCAATGGCACGACTGGCCCGGTCATGGCTTCACAAGTCTGAATAAAGTCGATTGTTCCAGGATGGATGGTAAACAGCTGCCTGTCTGTAGTCCTGTGCCGAACACGGTGGTGACCTCACCTACCGGCTGCTTGCTGTACCTCCTTCCTTTGTGCCGACCACTAGAGGGCGCCACAGTCACGTGCACAGGTGTTTCAGTTGAGATGTCCCGTGTGAAGCATTGATCCTATAGGAGACAAAATTAGATTGTAACAGTAAATATCCATAAAATGTGTCTGTCATTCTATTCATACGGTAGGCCTGTATTAAAGTAGCACTTCTTGGTTGCCAGTTAAGTATATATGTGTAAAATGTTGCGAATATTAAAAAAAAGTATCAATTGCAAAGCCTGTATGTAAACAATACAATAGTATATGAGCTGGGGCCTCCTTTATCAGATTTTTCTGTGCAGTAAATGTGATAGGACTGGAATGCAGAGAGACCAGTTCTGCACACAGACTGTGCTAATATGCAGAGAATGTGGTTTGACATTGTTGAGTTGAAATGAATGAGGCTTTCCAGTGAAAAAGTCTAGCTCATTAAAATGATGTCAAAGCAAAAGACTGTAACTTGTCTAAGACCATATGAAACTAATTCAAGTCATTTTTATTTATATAGCGCCAAATCACACCACAAGGCACTTTATATGATAAGGTAAAGACCCTACAATAATACAGAGAAAACCTGAACTTTCAGAAAGCAAGGCAGCAGTGGGAAAGAAAAACTCCCTTTCAACAGGAAGAAACATCCAGTGTAACCAGGCTCAGAACATCTTTGCTCATGCAGTCATCAGAGTTATATCTGCAAAGGTTGGGCTAACATCATATTAAACCCTATAGACTAACAATGGCATGTCACTCAAGTCCATATGTGTGTGAAAGCAGAGGAGTGAATGCTTGTGTGCACAAGAACAAGTGCAGAGGTATTGGATGCCTGACGTCACCAAAGCAAAAACTGACTGAACCTGCAACATCAAATGTAAGAATAGTTGTGTTGATAAAAACTGAAACTTCAGTTAAACTATGAGCATGACTGTACTTTATTTATACATACACTATGGTATCCTGTGATAGTATTTTAACCACAGGCATTGCTTATCAGATGGCTTTTTTTATTACCACAGAGATTAAAATCTTCTGCTCTGACCAGACGATTTTAATCTCTGTGGTAAGAAATGAACACACAACAGAACAGAGTGATCATCTTGCTTCTTTTATTCTTAAAATCTGAAGTAGGAAAATCCTTTCTTCTTCCAGTTCTGGGAATGCAAATTGCAGCAGGGTGGGAAACGCAAGTAGGTTGTCATCACTTTTTGAGAATTAAACAGGACACGCTCTACTCTGAACAATGTAACTTTCGATCTGAATGCCACAGAAGTCTCTTTAGTAATGAGTAATGTGGTTTTTGATGAGCTGCCTTTTTTAAGGTCACTGGGTTTTCTTTTTTGCGACCACTTCCTATCATACCATTACCTCTCAACAGGCTCACATTTGTACTGCTCAGCGATCATAAACACAGCTTCTCTGTCTTTCCTGTTACATTACACTGGCCAACATGAGTTGTTTTTGTTTTATTTTCTTGTCATTGCAAAAACATACTGCAAAAAGTGAATTAACTTTTGCTTTGAATAATAATAATACAAATCTGCTTTCTTTCACAGCAAGTGTATGATGGATAATTAAAGTCAGCACTTAAAGCAAATTGCAACTGACTGAATTATCCTTTGGTAGCTTGTGTCTGACAGTTTCACGTTGTTGCCTCAAGATAACGGCAATGAACTAAAACCATTGAGGCAAATTTGCTTTTTAGAAAGTTTGAAAAAGTCAAACAAGTATTAACAAAGATTTCTTTATTCCACAAATAAAAACAAACAAACATTTATTGACACTGTAAAGTGATAAAGTATGAGAATGTTTAACCCTCCTTCTTTCATGTACTGGCCTCCTTACAGTGGGGGGCACTAATTATTTGACCCCTTGCTGAATTTGCACATGTCGTCCCTTACAAAGAAAATAATTAAAGTCTCTCATTTCTATGGAAGTTTCATTTTAGTGTAGAAAGGTGAAAAAAAAACACATTACATGAACGTTATAAATTCATTTGTACGTCATTGAGTGAAGTAAGTATTTGATACTGTGACGGAGGTGTGGTCCCTGGCTTAGCTGCAGGGGAGGAGTGGTGCAGTGAGCTCAACGGGGCGGTGCTGGGGAGGCAGGTGAGAGCACAGCTGGTGGCTTTTGGACTGATGACAGTCTTTTTCCCTTTTTAGTGAGGTGGAAGACCAGAGAGGAGGGTTGGAAAAGCTGAGACCAGTGCTGACCAGACTGTGGGTTGTTGCATAAAACCCTAAATAAACTTGTGAGCATAACCAGTGTGTGTGGAGTGCATTCTACAGATACCCTATAACCTAGCCAGAATTCTGACTCCCATGGATTGATTAATTGATTCAATGACAGTAAATCAATGAAGTACAGATACTCCTGATCTCAACTCACTATGTGTATAAACCACACCCAAAGAGCCTTCAGAGGACGTCAGAGACAAGTGTGGGAAATCGAGGAAATAAAATATAAAATGACCATCAATCACCCTTGATCTGGATCCGTGCAAGAGGTTGTCTCGTGGGGTGAGGATGATCAGGAGAAAGGTGACGAATTGGCCCAAAACTACACAGGAAGAGCTTGTTAACCATCAATGCACTACACCACAATGGATTGAAATCTTACAATGCCTGCAAGTTCCCCCTTCTTAAGAAGGCACATGTACATGCCTGTTTTAAAGTTAATATCTGTGAACATCTAAATGATTCAGAGGAGGCCTGGCAGAAAGTGCAGTGCTCACATGAAACTAAAGAGAAATGCTGAGTATGACTCAAATATCACCATCCCGACAGTGAAGCACGGAGGCTGAAACATTATGCTTTGGTGCTGTTTTTCTGCTAAGGGTGCAGGACGGCTTCAGGTCATTAAGGGACCAATGGGCAGGGCCATATACCATAAAATCTTGGATGAGGACCTCCTTCCCTCTGACAAAACACTGAAGATTGGTCATGGATGGGTCTTCCAGCATGGCACCGACCCAAAACATACTGCCAGAGAAGTGGCTAAAGAAGGAGCATATTAAGGTCAGGAAGTGTCCTAGCCGGTCTCCAGACCTGAGTGGAAGGAGCTGAGGCGTCTGTGCCAAGAGGCAGCAAAAAGACCTAAAGCATTTAGAGAGTGTCCATAAAGAGGAGTGGGCCAAAACCTTTCCTGGGATGTGTCTAAACCTAAGAAAAGTTTTAGCGCTGTGCTTCCCAACAAGGGTTTCTTCACTAAGTACTAAGTTATGATTGAATACCTATTTCACTCAGTTGCATACAAAATGAAAGTACCATAAAAATGTCTTTGCAAAGTAAGCAAACTTAAACATTCACAGTGGATCAAATAATCATTTCCCCTACTGTATGTCAATGAACAAACAAGATAGTCCGTTAATGTCAAATAAAAAAAAACAGCAAAATACTTTTGCTGATTAATATATTATTGCTAAGATCCTTCATTCGGTCAGCAAGTGCTTAGGTTCTTTTGTGCTGTGATACTGAAAAGTCTTTAGTTAAATCCATTTAAGGTAATTCTGTCTTCATGTCAAACACCAAGCCGTTCTTGTATATCAGCATGGCAAGCTCATTGTCCACTTGCTCAAGGTCCGTAATTTCTCCTTTGGAATTCCTCTGCTCCTCATCTGTAGAGCCGGGGCTCGAACAGTCGTCGCTGCATTCTTCCAAGGTACTCCTGTCGTGGTCTACGTCCTCATCAGTCCCATCGTCCCACTCGTCCCTGAGAACGCGGACATCTTCTGCTTCCTCTGAGACAGACTTTCCCTCTGGATAAAGTTTGAGCAGCGTCAGCTCATCGTGCACCTCCTCTTTCTTCTCTAGGATTTCCTGTTTTATCACATTATCAGAGAACAGATTTAGTAAGTATTTGTAATTACATGGGATAAAAGGTTTTATCAGTTGTAGATATGAAAATGTGGGTTAAAGCTCATTGAAAATATTCTGTGGTCAGACAAATTAAAATTTAAAACTCTTTTTGGAAAACATCGAAGCGGTGTCCTAAAAAAGGAGGGGGACCAGTGTGCACATCTGATAAAAGGACCATCAGTGTTGAAAGGTACGTACAGGTTTTATACATACACACCCTTTGTGTACTGTTTTCACTGACGCAATGAGTTGAGCTCATTTTTGTCTCAGTTGCTTATGTTTTGTCTTTTTCAATAGGGCACATGTCACATTCGGCAAAAATAAATTGACATTGGTCAAAACAGTGGTCCACCCATCACTGGTCATGGTACTGTGGCTGCATACTTCTCTTGCACGCAGTCGACAGTTCTGCTTTTTGGTCAAATGAAAAGTCTGTGGTTCTGCCACATTGGCTTTCAATAGATCGGTCAGAGTATTTGCTGGAAAAATATTTGGGCAATGCATCCAGTCATTTCAGCAATGCCCACTTAGCAACCACAGACATTCAACTTTCCATCATTTGCAGTTTTACTTCTTGTTACTGTTTCCCAGACATAGTGCTTTGAGTTCTGCCCTCATAGTTATGTTTTTGACCTAGATTATCTTTTTTCTCATGCGTTTTGAGAACTTTACATGCAGTTTACCAAACTCCACATGGACTGTCTCATGCCTTTTATTCAAGAATGGCCTCCGTCCCTATGATTTCAAACTTATTCCATTTAGCAGTTACAAAGGTCAGTGGGGAATCGATTTTATAGTCTAGATCTTGAGAGCATAATATCTCATCACAGTCAGGTCTGCAGTTTCCTGGACCTCTTTGCTTGTTCTTTGTTTAAACTTCAGTAAATTATATATACAGGTGCTTGCCTTTCCAATGTATGTGCAATGATTTTCTTGGCCTGAGAACACTGTGATCAATATTAACCTCCTAAGACCCAGACTCTTCCACGGCATGCATTTTTAATTTCTCTTTGATATTTGGGGTGATTGGGACCTGATGAATGTAAAAACAAAGAATTACCAGATTTATTTATATTTTTACCTATTTTTTGTTTCTAAGAAAAATGAGAGCCACATATGAGGATATTCGTTTAAAATTTCAATAGAACAGTAGCAGTATGATGTCCTCATAAGCGGATATCAGGCCCTTGAGACTTTTGGTCTAAATAACCCAAAATGTGATGTCCACATATGTGGATGCCGGGTCCTAGGAGGTTAAAGGCTAATTAAAGCAAACTGGATGCATCGAGCAACAATTTGGAGCAGACTTCAGAAACATGAAAAGTTCAGCCCGGCCTCACAAGAGAAAACA